GCAACATTATAGTTTCACTTTCTTTAAAAAGTTAATAGTACATGCTTCTGAAAAATAAAAATTTAAGTATTTTAATTAAAAATGTTTTTATTTTTTCTATTGCACAATTTAATTGTTATTGAACTATATACCCATTGTTATAATTGATTTTAATCCATTGAATTTCAATTAAATATTTCACCACATTTAATAATTATTTTAAATTAATATTTGTAATGCTTTTACATTAGTAGATTGGAAAACAGATCTAAATTTTATAGTCAAGACGATTATTGGTTTAGACACACAACTAAACAACCTTAAAAATCTAAATCTAATACAAATTAAATTATTTTTTCCAACATAAATCTTTAGTTTCATGCATCAATAAAGAACCACTCACTATTCTATTAGTTTGTCTACAAAATATCTTGAATTCAAAATTAATATTCCAACCACTTCATTATTATTTCATTTCCAAAGCAACTAAGATTTAAGTATGCTATACTTAGATTTTATCCATTTATGAAGCAATCATTATATTTTCTTTATCCACCACTACATTTCTTGTAATAAAAAGTCATCATCTACGTAAATAAAAATATGTCAAAAAAGATTAAAAAGTCATTTACTTGAATCCGCACCCACTTCATCCCCCCATATCTTCTTCCACAATTTGAATTCCTTCTTATCAACATCCTCTATTGGAGCACTATCATCGTTGAATTTGTTCTTAATCTCTCTAACTTTCTTAGTCCATACTTCTGTATTCCCAATGCCCCTACTGACAAAAGGATAACAAAATCTTTTAAAAACAATAGGGCTATCAAACGGGTACACTCCTACCCGTTCTTTATATTCAAGAATAATCTCCATTATGTTAATGTTGTCGAGTATAACCAATTCGATTGCTTCTTTGTTGGTGGCTTTGTCTTTAATTTCTACATCATTTGAAGATGAACTTTCGTCATAGTATTGTTGGTCAGCTTCCATCATGGGAGATCAAATGGTAGTTGTTGAGATTGAGGACGAGTAAATTTTTTGGTTGAAATTTGTTTTTGAATTGTTGTTTTTAAAATTAAAATCTTTAAACATTATGAAAATAGCATGAAAGATGTTATTAGGAATATCGAGCATTAAAATTTATTTAGTATAGTTAATTAATGGACTTTTGGACGTGCACTTGCATGAATAAGTTTTGAGATTTGGTTTTAAAACAAAGATTAATTATAGTTTTGATTATATATGTAATAAGTAATTAGATCAAAATATCAATTTTGCATATACTAAAGTCAGCAAAACAAGTTGATTTTTCTCAGTTGATTTTTCTCTTCTTTTAATATGTTTTGACTTCTAATAATGACATGAGGTGATGCAAATATGAATGTGTTTAGGTGCATAGATTGTTGTTTTAAATCCATACCACCTTTTAATTGATCAGGATATTTAAGCACCTGTTCAAAAACATTCTTTTTCCAAAATTGATTTTGGGAGTATAATGTAAAAACTAGGTCTAATATGTTTCTTATGAATCTGATTTCGGTTATCCTTTTCTAATTTTGTTTCCAACATCTAGCTAGTGATCCGATAAACTTCGATCAGATCAATTCAATCTGGTTCATTTTAAATTAGATCAACAGCTTCATTGTGTGTGTCTACCCCAATTTTGATTGAACTTGTTACACCCTAATAATCATTTAAAAAATGCACATTCAAACATCTATTTATTCCACAATATATGGCGATAGTGAGGGATGTAGCAATGTAGGTCCTATCAATTTTTATTTAATAAAACTTTAAAATAAAATGCTTCTTCCATAGAGAATTCTTGATCATCAATACAACATGTCTTTAATAGCATCGAACTTATTTTATGAATAATCGGAAGCGAGGCATTCTTCGCATAGTAGACAGTCACCGATCGACAACTCATTCTTGTTCTAATCGAACCATTTTTTTCGAGAATTCCAGACTAAAGAAGAAATATAATATTATAAAAATACCAAAAATCATTTTTTTATCAGCTAGTTTAGTAGCTAGTTTTTAGCTAACAACTAGTGTTTGAATGATCAATTAGTTTTCCAGCTAGTGCGCCAAACATAACCTTTGTCATTTAGGTTTGAAAATAAAAACAAATATCACAATAAGACAATTATAAAAATACCAAATTTATAATTTTAAAACTAAAAGACCAAAACCAAAAATTCCCCACAAATTACAAAAAATAGATATACACAGCTTGTAGAAAACCTAATACTAAAATATTTACATACAAAAACTCGAATCACATTAGGATCTCAAGATGCAGCAACACCTATGATGCAAGGAATAATAGACTTACATCACGATATCTTTTTCTTCCTCATTCTTATTTTAGTTTTCGTCTCACGGATCTTGGTTCGCGCTTTATGGCATTTCCAAAAAGAAAAAAAAATCCAATCCCGATTGTTAAAGATAGAGGGTAACAAAAATAGCCACAAATATTTTATGCGTCTATAGAATCCTATGATCCACAATATTTTTCGTTCATTTCAATGGATGAAAATAAAAAATGGAGACTGCTAATCAACATCAACTATTCTTATTGATCAAGATCATTTATTTTTATTGGCTATCTTTAACCCTCATGCAACCTATAAAATCACCAAGCAACCATTACTTCTTCATCTATATTCTACCAGCAATATCTCACTATTCTATTTTAGTTAACCCCAATTTGGAATTTTTGTGTGATTGAATGATTAGGGTTTTGGTTTCTAACCTCCCTTGACTGGTTTCTATGGTTCTACTCAATCCCATCATCCTAATGATGGATTTGATGATTTGGGCGAAAATCTCCATGAACCCTAAAAAACCTAAATTTGGGATACTTCAACTAATGATGAATTAATATTGGATTCTATGACCTATAGGATATTTGAGAGCAACAAATCCAATTGGAATTCTCAAATTCATCCATTATGGTAAAAGCAAGTATAATCATGGATTTGTATTGATTTTTAAGGGAAATGGAATTAAAACAATGCCATCCTTTTTATGTGAGCATTTAATGAGTATATGATGCTCATAAACATGATTTTCTACTAATAATATGATTTGAACATAAGAACAAGATGGCGTGAATTATCTATAGTTGAATTTATGGAATACTTTGCCAAAAGGGCAATTTAGGAAACATGGAATGGAAATGATGGTTTCATAGTTAGGTTATGTAATTACAATGGGTTTAGTTGTGGTTTTATATACTTGACAACATCTAACAATGTTTTTAATGACTTTGTGATATGTCACAATGGTTAGAATGCAAGGATGGGCAACTTAAGCTCCTAATCATTTCATTTGTGTAATTTTGAGCATTATAAGCTTATTTTGTAAATTGATGACTTGATGAATTAAGGTAAATGTCTTGACATAATAAAAAATCCTCTAAATATGTTTAAGAAGCCATTAAAGTGGTTTAGAATGATGTTGGATGAGAACCTTGATCATTAAGAGCTTAATTCATAACTAGAATGCTTAGATGCGATTT